AAACCCCAATTTTCCCCACAAAAAGCTGATTTTTCTCTCAGGCGTGGTGCTCCACCTGCCTGAAGCACCGCCCTCACAGACCAGCTCCGGCTCCCGGAGCCCCTTGGCCAAAAACCCAATTAAAAATTCCCAAAAAAATCCATCAAAAATCCCCCAAAAAATCCCCCAAAAGATTTCCTAGATTTTATTTCCCTGCAAATCCCAATTTTCCCCACAAAAAGCCCATATTTCCCTCAGACATGGTGCTCCACCTTCCAGGAGCGCAGCCCTCACAGACCAGCTCCGGCTCTGGGAGCCCCTCCAGCAAAACCCATTTAAAAATTCCCCAAAAAAATCCCCCCAATCCCCCCAAAATTCCCATTTTTCCCCCTCGGGGCAGTACCCGTCGGCGGTTGCTGAGCACGGCGTAGTGCTCCACCTTGCCGAAGCGCAGCCCGGCGCAGACGAGCTCCAGCTCCTGCCTGGAGCCCCTCTGCCAAAGACCCATGAAAAATTCCCAAAAAAATCCATGAAAAATCCCCAAAAATATTTACAGGGTTTTATTTCCCTGCAAACCCTAATTTTCCCCACAGAAAGCTGATTTTTCCCTCAGGCATGGGGCAGTACCTGGCGCAGCCCTCACAGACCAGCTCCAGCTCCTGCCTGGAGCCCCTCTGCTAAAAACCCATGAAAAATTCCCAAAAAAAATCCATGAAAAATCCCCAAAAAATCCCTAAAAATATTTACAGGGTTTTATTTCCCTGCAAACCCCAATTTTCCCCACAGAAAGCTGATTTTTCCCTCAGGCATGGGGCAGTACCTGGTGCAGCCCTCACAGACCAGCTCCGGCTCTGGGAGCCCCTCCTGCAAAACCCAATTAAAAATTCCCAAAAAAATCCCCCAAACCCCCCAAAATTCCCATTTTTCCCCCTCGGGGCAGTACCCGTCGGTGGTTGCTGAGCACAGCGTAGTGCTCCACTTTGCCGAAGCGCAGCCCGGCGCAGACCAGCTCCAGCTCCCGGAATCCCTTCAGCCAAAAACCCATGAAAAATTCCCAAAAAAATCCATCAAAAATCCCACAAAAAATCCCCCCAAAGATTCCCTGGGGATTTTTTTCCCTGCAAACCCCAGTTCTCCCCACAAAAATGTCGATTTTTCCCTCGGGTGTGGTGCTCCACCTGCTCAAAG